AGGCAACTAACTAACTTATGTTTCCCTCTCAATTCAATGTTTTTCTCTCTCTCTCCCCTCCCTTCTCTATAAAGTCAAAACCAATAAAACAACAATAACAAAAAGTCAGACATGAAATGGTCCTTCTTTTCCGCTGTACATTTGCCCATGAGTTCAATTTAAGCGTGTTGTGTATTTTGTTATAAAATTTAATTACAACCCAGCCAGTGTGGCTCAGCGGTTGAGTGTCGACCTATGAACCAGGAGGTCAGGGTTCGATTCCCAGTCAGGGCACATGCCCGGGTTGTAGGCACAATCCCTAGTAGGGGGCGGGCAGGAGGCAGCTGATCAATAATCCTCTCTTATCATTGATGTCTCACTATCCCTCTCCCTTCCTCTCTGAAATCATATATATATGAAAGAGTTCTTAAAAATTTATTTACATTCTTTCTTTTCTTTTGAGAGTTGAACATTTCCAAATGCGGCTTCTCATTAAAAAAAAATTTATTCTTACCATTGCCAGAAAACCTCTACTTCATTCAGATGAATCAGTCCCTCTAATTAGCAGGGAATAATCTGGAACTAATTAACTAAAAGATCTGACTTGTCATCAAAATGCCTTGGGCAGCATGGTAAGTAAAGAAACTGGGTGACAAATGAAATCATGTTACAAGACCAGTCACTTCAGGAAGGGGAAAGCAGAGGTCCTGGGATCAAAAGCAGGAAATTTTCTATTTATTCACATGTCCTGGGAAAAATAAGTCAATGTCCACTTGCCTCAGGTTCCTCACCAATGAAGTGAAGGGGACCTGCTATGCCTACTGCTGAGGCTGGATCTGGGGCCAAATGGAATTGAGGATGTGAAAATGTTTTGTAAATTCCAAAGGACCGTTCCATTGCAAACTACTGCCGTTATTCAGTATTGGTTGGGTTGTTTGGAGGCAACAAAAGAAATCCTGTATCTTGTACTCGGCCCTCAGACCACGTAATGCTGCTGAGGCGCCCCCTCTTCCTTCCTAGCAGACCCCACGAAGGGCTCCACACAGCCACTGTGGCTGCAGGCCCAGACGGTCTCTTAGCATTTCCTCTTCTCCCCACAATATCTGCCTCAACCATCCCCCTGGACTGTGACAAGGCGATCACACTCCATCAACAAGAAACCCAGGGACTCCTTGTAAAATTATATTTGAACCTGGAGGCCTGCATGTTTCTGTTAAAAACAGACTTGGAAACGAATAAAAAGTTGCCTTAAGCAAATTTCCTATAATTCCAGCAGAGGGAGACAGGGCTGCACTGACTCTCCCACAGAAACTGCAATTTATTTGAAGGCTTACAACATGAAGGCTTCCTTCCTTATTTCTAGTCAGATAGTGTCATCATAGTTCAATGTCTGGGTGGAGAAAATACATGGCTAAAGACCATTATCAATGCAGCTGCACTCCAAAGCACTCTCACATGGGTGTGCATTTCATTGCTCACAGGAGACACTGGGCCTTTGGAAGCAGCAGCGGCATGTTATGAACTCAGTCTCCAGATGCTTCACAGCCGCGGCCAGCACCCCTGGCGGCTGAGCCCGCATTCGCTCTGTTTTCCTCTCTCCTGAATTCGAACCATGGATTTGTTCAAGCACCTGCCCCGTCCCCGGTCCAGAGGGGGATCTTGATTCCTCTAAGCCAGCGACTTTCAACCTTTCTCATCTCATGCCACACATAAACTAATGACTAAAATGATTCAGCACACCAAAAAAAAAAATTTTTTTTTGCCCATCTGACAAAAAGAAAAGGTATAAGTTTGATTCATTCAGAGCAGACAGCTATTGTTGTGTTGGCTGTTGTCATTTTTTTTAAAAAATGTTTTTTCCTGATACTTTAAATATATTTGTATTGATTTCAGAGAGAAAGGGGGAGAGAGAGAGAGAGAGAGAGAGAGAGAGAAACATCAATGATGAGAGAGAATCACTGATTGGCTGCCTCCTGCATACCCCACACTGGGGATCGGGCCACAAGCCGGGCATGAGCCCTGACAGGGAATAGAACCACGACCTCCTGGTTCATAGGTCGATGCTCAACCACTGAGCCATGCTGGCCAGGCAGCTGTTATCATTTTTAATTTGACAATCTAAGAAAAAAGGGACCAGTGCCCCTGACTAGTCAGGGATTGCACTTTTTAAAAACTTGTGGCACTGGTATCTACACAATGGAATACTATGCCGCTATAAAAAAGAAGGAACTTTTACCATTTGCAACAGCATGGATGGAACTGGAGAGCATTATGCTAAGCGAAATAAGCCAGTGGGAGAAAGATAAATATCACATGATCTCATATGTGGGATATAATGATCAACATAATTGATGAATAAGAATAGATCCATGCCAAACCGGTTTGGCTCAGTGGATAGAGCGTCGGCCTGCGGACTCAAGGGTCCCAGGTTCGATTCCGGTCAAGGGCATGTACCTTGGTTGCAGGCACATCCCCAGTAGGGGGTGTGCAGGAGGCAGCTGGTCGATCTCTCTCATCGATGTTTCTAACTCTCTATCTCTCTCCCTTCTTCTCTGTAAAAAATCAATAAAATATATTTAAAAAAAAAAAAAAAAAAAAAAGAATAGATCCAG